ACATATTGGATATCTCAATTCTATCGACTAGGTGTATGGTGTCAAGTTAGCACTACATACCATTTTTTCTTAAAAAACGAGAGCTACAAATTTTTTCTTTCCACAACAAATTTCAAAGTTAAAAGCTACAATTAATGCCGTTATAACATTTTCAATATCTCAATTCTATCGACTAGGTGTATGGTGTCAAGTTAGCACTACATACCATGTTTTCTTAAAAAACGAGAGCTACAAATTTTTTCTTTCCACAACAAATTTACAACAAAAACACTACAATTAATGCCGTAGTTAACTTTTCCAAATTCGAAAAGTGTAGTGCTAACTTGACACACGTATAAGAAGGATTTGCATTTGTCTCTGATTTTGAGACTTCAAAAAATTGTCAATTTCAATATTCAATTCTCCTAAAATTTCACATTATTTTAGTTACTTTCGCTTTCTACTACTAAATTTTAGTATAAAAATAACAATAAAAAAGTATTCTCTCTATATTTTCAGTTTGCGAATCGTTAATCCAAACAAATTCTTCTCCAAGAAGCCAACCATTATCTATTGAAGCATCGTTAAATATATAACAAGAGGTTTAATTAATCTTTGATTTAACTCATATTGAGCAACTAATATCAGTTTTTTGCATTACAGCGCGAAACCATCATCAAATACTCAAATACTTCGGTTTAAAAACAGACAAAAAAAAAACAAAAATAATAATAATATATTTACCACACGCAATAAGAATCATTGATTTGTAAAAGAAATGGAACTGCGAGTTGGTAATAAATACCGCCTGGGTCGAAAAATTGGCTCAGGTTCTTTTGGCGATATTTACCTAGGCACCACAATTAACACAGGCGAAGAAGTCGCCATTAAATTAGAATGTATACGCACGAAACACCCTCAACTGCACATCGAGTCGAAATTTTATAAGACTATGCAAGGCGGCATAGGTATACCGCGCATCATCTGGTGTGGCTCTGAAGGTGATTACAATGTCATGGTGATGGAGTTATTAGGTCCATCATTAGAAGATCTATTCAATTTCTGTTCGCGACGTTTCTCGCTGAAAACAGTGCTATTACTCGCCGATCAAATGATATCACGCATCGATTACATACATTCTCGTGATTTCATACATCGAGACATAAAACCGGACAACTTCCTCATGGGTTTGGGCAAAAAGGGCAATCTAGTTTATATAATTGACTTTGGACTGGCGAAAAAATTCCGCGATGCCCGCTCACTGAAACACATACCCTATCGGGAAAACAAAAATCTCACGGGCACTGCACGCTATGCGTCGATCAACACACATTTGGGCATTGAACAGTCACGTCGCGATGATTTGGAATCGCTCGGTTACGTGTTGATGTATTTCAATTTGGGTGCACTGCCTTGGCAAGGCCTGAAAGCTGCCAACAAACGTCAGAAGTACGAACGCATCTCAGAAAAGAAACTGTCGACGACAATATTGTCGTTGTGCAAAGGCTTTCCAAGCGAATTTGTCAACTATTTGAATTTCTGCCGTCAAATGCATTTTGAACAGCGGCCCGATTACTGCTATTTAAGAAAACTCTTCCGCAATTTGTTCCATCGCCTAGGCTTCACCTATGACTACGTCTTCGACTGGAATCTGCTGAAATTTGGCGGACCACGCAATCCGCAAGCCATACAGCAACAACAGGACGGTGGCGGCGAATGCCAAACAGGACAAGAGGCGTCCGCATCACAACAACAACATCAGCACAATCAGAAGCAAATTGCTGGTGGTGTCGCTGCCGTAGGCAGTGCACAAATTATTAACTCAGGTGGAGGTGGTGGCGCACAAACGTTGGTTAGTAGTAGTGGTGCGATGGTTGGCGGTGGTGGCACTTCCCAAATGGTGGTTGGCAGTGGTAATGGTGGCGGTGGTATAAATATGGACGATTCGATGGCGGCCACGAACTCATCACGTCCCCCATACGATACACCAGAACGACGTCCATCGATTCGCATGCGTCCAGGTGGTGGTGGAGGCGGCGGCGGTGTGCAACCGGGCGTTGTCAACGACGTGAGAAACGCAAAATAATATTTTATTGTTTAGATTTGAAGTACATATATAAATATATATATATATGTATATACTATATATATATAT